TTTTTTATTTCGTTTATTCCTTCATGTGAGTTTATTAGATCTTTTCCTCGATCTTTTTGGATTTTATTCCCTTTGCTCAGTATTCTTCTTGACTCTTACGTACAGTTTCCATTTAGTTCTTCTGGTTTGCTTTCCCATTTCCACATTTCCTTCGTTCGATTTTAAACACACACTTCATTTACTGTCTTAACCTTTAGCCTTATGACAAAAACCATCTTCTTTTGCTCTTTTTGGGAACATAGATCTAAATATCGTCAGCATAATTTGGTACCGAAAGGCAAAACAGATTGGAAAAATCAGAATATGGAATAAAATGAAGCTCTGTTGAACTTCACTGGTAAGTGCTGCAGCTGACAGTAATTCTTGGGGGAACACAATAATGTTATTGCTCCAGCTCTAACATTAGAGCTGGAGCTAAAGGAGTGACAGTGGACTAACTGGTGCAGTTCTGTATTCTGAAGGTATTTAGACACTTTCAAGTATTAATCACTTTATTCACCTGTCATTTTGTGCAACATTTGATCTCTAGAAAATAAGACATTGGTATATTATTTAAAGTCATGACAGAAAGGAATCGGTAAGTAATAGGGATCTGATACAACATAAAGAAGAAAGACAGATTTGGTGTCAAGAAAAGACAGTGCAAGAAAACAATGAGCCATTAACATTCAACAAGTTTTGCTCCACTCCTTCTCGTTCCACCTTTACTTGTGTGTGTGCTGAGAGGCAAAGCAGGGACCGAGACGGCTGTTATTGTCAACTGGATTAAATTTAAAAAACAGATTTATTCAAAAGAGCTAAAAAAACAAACAACAGACAGAGGGAGTGAGCATGTTGCCGGAGGGGAAAAAGGAGTGACAGTGGAGTAACTGAATAAAATGAGATTTTATCCTTCCTGGCAGCACGTATAGGGGAAACTGAAAATCTGCAGTCTTGGTCATAAACGAAGTGTGAAACGCATTACATTTTAAGATCTTAAATAAAATTTTGAGACTTCAAAGGGGGATAGAAATGTTCAAATTAGGAGTTCACATCCTTTGCATTGCACAGCTTTGTCAGTTTCACCTACTCAGTACTACATGATGGCCATGTCCCATGTCAATTCAAAAAGAACCCTGGACAAAAAAAGACTGCACACCTTCAACAAAGATGTTCCAACCTCTGTCAAAGGTTCCCACTGACAGGAAGCTGAGGATGACCCAGGCTTTACTTCACTCCAACTTTTCTCATAATCACATAAAAATGTGCCTCCATGCTTGTCAGCCTATCTTTTAAATAATACATCTGTTAAACTACAGCTCTATTTAACGTCACCAATAGGTTTGTGCTGCCACAGGTGTCTGTTAATCTCTGCACAGTTCACACATATCTTACATACATGAAGAAGAGCAAAAGGTTAAGCATTCAAGGCTGAGAACTGTCATATCTGTGGCTGTTACTGTGATAAATAACCACGGGCGAATGAGTCAGCTTATAAGTCAGAAGAGAACAAAGGAGATAGTCGCATTTTTACAGGCAACTAGGAACTCTTATCTGCAGTCAGTGTCATGGGGAAAATAAAAGTGTTGCAATCCTCCATGTGCGGTTCTAGAAAACCTTATTTGTTACATTTTAAGTGTATTTAAGGAAATGTATTGTTAAATGTAATCCATCAGACTTTTATGTGCGTTTCTTTTAAAGAATGAAAATATGAGTTGATTCTGACTCAGCTCAGTTTTTGGAACATTGTAGTGTTCACAATACCATACCTCTGATACCAAAAATGATAATTAGGAAAAATTCTGAGCAATGGTGGATCTGCACCATTCCATACACACATTTTGTACGTGTCGTATGAGAATGTTTTTAATCAGGTCAGGTAATGCTATATTGCTAACTTTAGAATTCAACAAGATACAATGTTTTTGGCTAATTTCTTGGTCACCAGTCGCATTTAAATCAAACAAATTGTCTTTTATGCTGAAGAGCATCAACCCAGAGAACCTGCATACAAAACAGGTGCTGCACAGAGCTTAGGATAATATACCTCTGAGCTCCCACCTACTCCTGATATCTGACTTGTCTGAAAAAGTAATAAACCCTGACAGACATCCACATCTGGCCCTACACAGCTTCTCCCCTGTAATAAACTGTAGCTTAATATCATCGCTTATAGACCTTTCAGTAGCACTGAGATGAGCTAAAGTGTAAAATAAAAATATTCCCCAAACTCTGGCTCACATGTTACATCCACATATTACCACACCAAGCGTTAATTCAATCGAATATGGATAAGGCATCGAGTCATTTTATTATGATTTCAGCAGAACATTTTTATTACTGTGAAAATCAAAAGTCGCTGAGAGACAAAAGAAATATTTATTAATATACTACAGAGGCCAAAGATTGCATCTTATCTCTGTAAGGTCTGTCACAGGAGCTTGCAGCAAAGACACAAAAGCTACTCATTATGAGAGCAAACAAACACAGGCCATTATGCATGAACTTCTTCACATAAACAATAATAGGTCAAACAGTACTCGTTAAATCCAATTAACCCCTTTCGTCTGATCCTCTCAATGCATCTCTGCTCCCATCTTGTAACACCAGACCTTCCTGCTATTTCATTAGCTTGCATACACAAAAGAATCCACCCCCTTTCCACCATTCGAGCCCAGTGACAGCCCTGCTAATGCACCTCCTATAATCGAATCCTCCAATCACAGTATTCCGTGCAAAGACCCGTGTCACATGACTAACTGCACATTAGACCGACGCTTGGTTGGAGTTAGAGCTGTCATTTTGCACTAATGTGATTCCAGTGTATCTTTTTTTTTTTCTTTAATTTGATTTGGGAAGTCTAAGCTCTGGCTTCTACGAGTCTAGCGCTAAAGCCCTCGTGGGCTAGGCTAATCAGTTTCCAACATTTCTGAGGGAGACAATGATCCCAGTGTTAGCGCTGGCTAATGACAAGCTAACACAATCAACACAGCCTCCCTAGAGTTGCGCTCCGAGCCAAAGCCCAATCTTGCCCCACCTCCTGCAGGCTCCTCATCCACTTTCCCTACATTACTATGGAGTCTAATGGCCTCTTATTAAGAAGACAGATGGTTGAGGGAAGGGGATGGTTTCTGTGTCTTCTTCAGTTACATTTACGAGTTGGATCTCAACTACCTCAACGACAGCTTAAATGTTTAAAATTACATTCCAACTGAGTTTTTTTAATTTTTTTATTGCAAGGTGTGGCACAAGTTTGCATCTATTAGTAAGACATGACGATCAATAGGGTAAGGATCACCTAAACAAAATATATAATAATTTAATAAAGTATGTGGTTTGCTTATTCTCCTTTTCATATCTGTCCTTGAAGAGTTTCTACTCACTTTTTCCAAGTTGAAATTTAATTCTTTTCAGCTTTCAAGCAAAGTTAATTTATATAGCACATTTCAGCAACAAGAAGTGTTTGATATGTTTAAAAACATAAAGCAATAAACTAAAAAAAATCTTCCCACTTTGCAGTGGGAAGATAAAGAGAAGTATTCAAAAGTTTTAATCTAAATTCCATTTATTATTCAAAGGTATTTATCTATTTAATTATTTTACCTTGACTTAAAGGAACTAGGTGTTTAAGCAGTTTTGCATTGAAGCTTATTCCAGATAAAAACTGAATGGTCATAAAACTTTGAGTGGTCTGGAAGGTTAATACAATGACAACAAATCTTTATTGTATGTTGGTGCTTAGCTTTTCAGTGATTTCTAACTAACAAAAGCATTTTAAAGTCCATTCTCTGAGCTACAGGGAGCCAGTAAAAAGATTTTAGAACTGGGGTTGTCTGCTGTATTTTCATAGTTTTAGTGAGAATGTGAGCAGCAGCGTTCTGGATCAGCTGATTGACTTCACAGGCGGACCTGTGAAATTTCAAATGTTTATGGTACATTTAAACCATTCATAAAAATATAATTAGAACAGTTCATGCATGGATGGTGGGTGTGGGCAAAGGGAGGGATGAGTGAATAGATCGACAGAAAAAAAATGAATGAGTGTGACCAAAGAAATGGAAATTGACATTGAGACCAGATAAAAACCATTAAAAATGCAAATACTTTGACTAAAATAACCCAAAACTTAGAAAATAGGAATGCACAATTAGTACATACAGTCATGTTTGAGATTACTTTTGTTAACCAGAATGATACACAATAAATCATACCTGTTTGTCAGTGACAAAAACAGGCATGAGTTTCAGTATTATCATTGGTCTATGTCTCTTCAGAATTATCAGTGAACCACATGATGAACATCAGTTAACAGATGACACTAATGTGGTTTGGGGTCAAATGTGCTGCGGTTGGAATGAGACTGGCATGAATTAGTTCAATCTATTCATCTGCCCATAAAGACAGACGGTATTCAGTGAATGCATCGCTTTGGAGAACAGACATGATCGCAACATAAATGCAACCCCTGCAAAACGGAAAAGAAGTTTTTGGTTGAAAAATCTTGAATGCAGAAGTTTGAATCCTAAATAGAAAGGATTTCTATTTAGGATTCAAACTTTAAAACTTAAATTTTAAAATTTCAACAATTTTAAAATTAAAATACTCATATTGATCAGTGTCCCTTTTTTCTTTGGAGTAATTCCTAAAGTTGCAGGAGCTCACTTTGAATTGCATATGAGATGAGCATAGTGATCATATTTCCAAATCAACTCAAAGAGAAAAATAAGGGAAAGTTTTCTTCATCATTAAGATCTTGTTTTGACTTCTTTGACATTTGTTAATTACTTCTCAGTGAGCGGAAATCAGAAGCGGGGAGCTTGATATCTTTCTGAAAGCTTTCTACTGCTTTGTAGTTATCAGTGTCATGTTCAGGTCTTCACACAGCTTAGAGAAAAGCTGTGTTGAAAAGTTAATACAAAAAAGTTTTGGATAGAAGGCTGTTCACATTTTTCTTTTTATTCTTATTTTTTGTGACAGTGTTTACGTCATTAGTTTTGGAAATGAACAATGAGTACACTTACTTGAATTTGGCATTTACTTGGTCGACTGCTTTATGATAGTTCTCTTTGTTGACCTTGTAGAACTGCACACTCTGTAGACAGAGAAGGAAAAAACTCATGAATGCTTGACAAAAGAAGCATAACTACATAAAGCTAAAACCAGCAACAATTCTTCAAATAAAACATGTACTTCATGTATGACACAGTGCTCTGTTTAGCTCACAAACCTAATTAAAATTTTTTGTTTGTTTTTACAACACGTCTTGCAGGTATGAAGCTCGCAAAGGCAAAAACCATCAGCCCTCTTCTACGACGGTGAGAAAGTGTGAAACATATGAACTTGTGCTTATCTTCTCACAAAAGACTGCTGTAATAACAGAGAGCAGTCCTTCAAGGCCAAAAGGTCACTAGTCAACAATGTAGAGACGAGTGGTCAGAATCTCCTGGTGACCCGTAGCAAATGAGCCCACTCAACCTAAATTACCTCCTCAAACACAGCCATATACACTCTCTTCTGGAGCATTTTTATAACTTCAGGAAGATTCTTCTTGTCACTCTCCAGAGGCTGTTATGCACATTTATAATCACATCATGAGAGGTTGTAAAGTATGAAAAGATAGCATGATTTAGAGTGGTTTGAATTTTCAAAGGTGTCGGGGAATGCCTAGCATTACAAATGCTTCTTTGTTGAAAAGGGCACAATACATTCATGAAATGGTGAGTTCTCAAATGTAAAGAATTTACTTCTTTCATTTAGTTTGCTGTTGATGAGTAGGTTAATATCTAGTCTACCATGGGAAATTCTGGACAAGACTATTGGCTGTAAAAACAAATGACTTGAACAATGGTATAGAACATTGTTCATTAATAAGTGAGGAAAATGTACACATCTGTGTCCTAAATCATTAATCAAAAGGTAATGGATTACTTCCCTGGTTTCTTCTGCCTTCAAGAAACAAGAGAAGAGAAGTTGACACTTTAAATAAACTTTTAATGCACATTTTAATGCAACTTTGCATTTAAAGTTTCATTTTTGCTGAATTACAATTTATGCCAACAGTCATAAACATTCACAAAGACTCCATTATGACCTAACAGGTTTTATGTCATGTTTATGACAGTGTCACACCCCTTCAACTAAAGTGTTACCAAAAACCTTAACAGTCCTAAAGAGCAGAACTTAATGATAGCTGGATTTCCTCTGTGCTTTGCTTCGGTGTCACTTGTTAAAGTTGCTCAAGAGAACTTTGAATTGTGCACTTTGTTCTGGACATAAACATCCTACATGTATTCACTTAACATCACTGGCTTCAGTAAATGAACATGCCAAAAGGATTTTTAGCATGAACATGTGCACAGTTACACCACAATATCTATATCAAATGTTATTATTTCAAAACTTTATTTATTTTATTAATTCAAATAAAATGTGAAACTCCATAGAGATATAGTTCAACCTTTTGTTCAATTTGATGATTGTGGCAAATGAAAATCTTAAATTCTGTATTTTAATGGCAGAAATGCGACAGATCCTGATCAATGCTGGAGAAGACTGTGGGGTAGACGGTTGGCTTGACACCTGCCCAGCATACAATCATTGAAATCATCCACAATAAAGCGTAAACAATAACTGCTAAAGAAGCCAGCTGTTCACTGAGTGATACGTCAAGCACACTAATGTCAAGTTCAGTGAAAGGAAAATGTTTTGGAGAAAAGAAAGAAAGAGCAACAAGCAGACTACAGTGTTTAAAGCATTGTGAAACAAAGCCTGATTACAAGTTTACGAGATGTATAACATAACATCTCTGTATCTTTTTTGGTCTTTGTACCATCCTAATGTTCTGTGAAACTTGACTTGGAGTTTTTAATTATCTACAAGCAAATGGCATTTATTACACTATTACATTTTTTTCGCTGTTTGGATTGAATAACTGAAATAAATTAACTTTTTGTCAATATATGAAATTATTATTAAGTATGCAATAATGAAAATGACGGCAGCAAATAGATTGATTCAGAAAGCTTCCTCTGTAATTTAACATTGCTTGCTATGTGAAATATTTATGGATTCAGAATTACTTATGTTTCGGTTGCAAATTATGCAGAAATGTGAAGAGATACAGTTAGTTATAAAAATGCCATTCAGAAGGAGTAAAAAAGAATAACTTTCTTATTTTTTTCAAGATCCAATTATTTGCACTACTCAGAAATGTCAGCAATCTTGTAACATATTTACTAAAGAGTATCCAACATTGAAACGCTTCTGCATAGTTTACAAACTTGCAATGTGATGCATTTTTATATTCAAGCTTCTTGATTTCATCTGCGTTAACTTCACCTACAAGCAGGAGAGACATTCATCATAGTTCAGTGAGGATCAATAAGAATGAAGTGCACTGCTGAAAAGATCAATAGTCATGTGCTGTAGAGGTAAAAGAGGATGGGACATGACACTGACAAAAGGTCTGATATCAATTGGAGTCCTCTTTATTTGAATGGACACTATTATAAATGAACCACAGTTTACCAAATGTACTTTACCAGGACACGATGTGCTGAGTTTCAAAACTACTTCAGAGGTCAAAACTGGCCTCTAAAGTATACAATATAACAAATTCAACAGGCATACAATGTGTAATCATCACAAGTATGCATATTTCAGAGGAAATATGCTACAAAAAAATTACTATGTGTTTTTGAGGCTGATATTGAAATGGTGTGCTGCTGAGGAAATTGCCACAAAATATGCTATTTACTAAAAATATACAACAGTTCCAGAAAAGATTTTTTTTTAAACAAGGTTACTTAAAAAGGAAGAGACTAAACAGGGATTTTTTTAATGATGCTAAAGAGCCAGAATAAGTCCTCTCCTGTGTGCTGAGATTAAACCACTGGAAGGAAAAGGAGAGAAAGCCTGAGCTGAGTTTGTGTCTGTGTCTGGAATACTAAGTATAACGTAATAACACCTGCCTAAATGGCAGAGCTGGCACTAATCAGCGCACTAATCCACCTGAGAGGACAAAAGGTTGTGTGTGTCAGTGATTGCAAGGAAATTTTTTAATGCAGTTGCAAACACACACACAAATATGCGCTTGTTTTCTTGAACAAAACATAAAAAATAAAAATAAAAAAATAAAGACAAAACAGAAACAGGTGTAGACACAAACTAAAAGGTGTACCTGCACACTGGTGGCTAAACAGTAACTCGCTCAACAGTAGGGAAGAGTATAATTTGTCTGATTACTGAGTGGCCTCAAATTGTGATATCCTGCTGTTATTCCCAACTGATTTCAAGAAAAACCCTGACCTTTTATTAGTTCAGACAAGACACACACTGAAACGTCTGGTTAAAAATGTGCCAACCTTTCTTAATCAGGGTTTTTGCAGCTGCAAACACAACCTCGCTGTTCACTAAAAGAGTTCTGGTCAGTGCTGTCCAACTATACCTTGCCATTGGATTAAAAATTTTAAATAGCAATAGGAACAAAGCTGAATTTATTACATGATGTAAGAGGACTCCATCTGTCTTCACTTGCTTTCTGGGAGTTTTTCTGCTCATTCCAAACCAAAGCAGTGAGACAGGTGTCAAACACACATTAAGTCATTACTGCTAATGTACTGCAATGATATGGAAAAGATACAAGCAGCACTTAAATACAGACTCAGTTTAAGGAAAATCCTTCCGACCTTTAACGAATAAAGCACATAATTGCATGAAGTGATTGGTTCTTCCTCTTAACTGCTGCTAAGTAGGAAGGCCTTCCACCGGATGAAGCCCCACAATGATCAACATTAAGTTTAAAAAAAACAAAAAAACAGCAGCTTCTGCTGTCTAAATTACTGCAGCTTGCTTAAACAAAAAACAAAGAGATTGATTTACACATTTTAAGCCCTTCCCTTTACACGCTTTCATTTACGAAACACTTTAAATGACACCCCAAATTATATTCAAGTCATTCAGTCTAGGGCAAGTTTTGATCAGCAATATCTCTGATGTCACATTAAACTTTTATCGCCACCTTTTGTGAACTGAAGCTCAACTGTGTGTCATCAGTTTAATTAGTGAAACAACTCTTTTCATTTGAATAATATCTCTGAACTACATCCTCGGCATAAAGTCAGGTTCTACAGAAAGAAACAACTGACATAAATATTTGGGTTAGCTTCTGCTGAAGCAAATAAATATCTAAAAGATCAGAAAAAGAGCTCCTGAAGATTGATGTTTGAGACCCCTGTTACTGATCATGTAGATGCTATGAAGCATAGCATTTATTTCCCACAAGCAAAATAGTGAATTGTGACCTATTTGTATTTGTTTTCTGAGATTAAAAAAAAATAATAATTTCAAGTTAGATTGTCCCAGAGCTCTTCAGAATGTAAACTACAGACTGTAGCAGTTGAAGGACAATAACTGCCTCTATAGACAAGTTCATGTAAATACCAATGTAAAACTAAACCAACAAACAGCAAGAAAACAAATAACTGAATACCATAAAAAAAGTCACTTCTGGTTTTGAGGCCAAGGCATATTATTTACATGGGTGCTTTCATAGTGGGCAAAAAAATTGCTTTGAAATCATAGCTTCCCTGTCTCAAATATGCCTATTGGAGAGAAAACAGATATTTTAAGTAAGTGTTTTAGGAAAAACAAACAGAGGAAAAGAGAAGTGAAAGAAGGAAAGGAATGAAGACGGGCAGAGTAAGAGATGGCTATACCATGAGACAGAGATAGAGACAGATGCCATCACTGCTTTTAAATGCTCTCTCGCCAATATTTATTCCTTTCATAGAACTGTGGAGCTTTGCTATGAGATGGCAATTGCAAGCTGTGATTGTCCTCCATAGGACAGGAGCAAAAAAAAGAGAAAAAGTCCAATTTCATCGATATACAAGGAAAAAAGAAAGACAGGAGAAGAAAATTATTTTCTGAAAGAAAAAAAATGAAATTGAGGCATTCAGAAGAAAAAACCCAAACACTCAAGCACAAAAAGAAAAAAGCTAAAAGAAAAGGGTTGGATACAGAGATGGATGTGGAGGGAGGGCTTTAAACAATCTGGTTGGGGAAAAAAAAAAAAAAAATTGGCAAGTTGATTGTTAAATATGAGATTGTTTTACAGTGAGGCAGGTATTGAGTGAAAATTTAATAAATATATAGATATTGTTTTCAGGGGCTATTTGGTAGCCGTGGCCCCAATGAACAGTAGCAGTGGAGGCAGCAGGCTGAGCTGTCTGGGAGCCTGGTGATGGCCTGTCACTGGAAGCCCCTCTGATGAATGGCCATGTTGGATTGGAAGAGACATGTAATATATATCAGACTTACATTCTATCTCGCTCCTTCTTGCTCTCTTTTGGTCACTTTGCCTCTTTTTTGCTAGTGCGCACGATGCTAGGGGGAATCCTGAGGTATTTGGGAGCGGCCGAGAGCAGACAGAGGGCACATACAGTGATGGGAGATAATATTCGGCAAGCAGTGCACTGTGAGGAAAATGAAATTTGTCCAATCTAAGTGGAAAAGGGACAGTTTTGGAAGTGAGAAGTATTATGTTTTCTTAACTTCAGGGCAGTGATTGGCTGTGAAAACTACAGCTGTGTTTGCAGTCCACCAGCTTCCCTGCTTCAACTTGAATTTTTTTCTCTTTTTTGTCTGGAGTGTCCAATTTATTCATTAAGGGATCAATCAACACTTAGACCTCGTTTATATAATCTACCTGGAAAACTCACGCTTAAAAAACTAAACTAAAACAAATAACTAGCGATCTGAAATATGGTAATCCAAAGATTAGGAGTTTCATTTTTGATTGTTTGAATCTTCCTAAATAAAACTTCTCTTATCAGGAATGTACTAATCAAATCAAGATGCTATACAAGTGATTCTCTCTGCAAATATTTTTTTTTTATTTATTTGTTTTTTTGGAGCTGATATTCCCAAAATAAGCACATCCCTCTAAATGTCCAGGCATTTTGAACAAGGTAATGAGCAGAAACTAAAAGGTGTGCGAGTGAGCTGTCAGCTGTTTCAGTGTGCTGCTGCTTTATGGGTCTCTGCATGAACATGCGGAGAAACTGTGAAATCCCACACCATTTATTTTCATTTCGTCTCTTAAATTGCCTTTGCTGAGGTACAAATTTAGATGCGGAAAATAGTTATTTTAGGCTCCGGTTTTAATGCAACCGCATTGTAACGTGACTCAGAAGAATTTCAGATGTGCCTTGATAAGTATAAACTTAGATTAGCTGAATGTGTCTGAGATGTTAAGGAAAGGTCAACTGACCTGTTGATATATTGTTGACTGACAGCCCACTCTTACACATTTGCATGTAAAGCAGATGATGGTCTGATTATCCTCAGTGGATTGTAATGTCTGGTTAAACGGTCATTGTTTGGCTTGTCTATTTTAATCCTGAATATCCAGGTCGCATGTTTGGGTTAGGGCTGGTTAGCAATCTGTCTCCACTTGCCTGCATCAAAACTATTGATCAGTCATCGGCATCAAAGGATCTTAGCTATAAGCATGATAGTATGTCCAGTTTGATTTAGACATGTTGCCTTTAAGATGGTTAAAAAAATAATTATCACATAAATTTGTCTCTGTAAGGGCACTCTCTGCAAACTCTACTCTTTATGTAAAATGATTACATGCTACATATGAACTACGAAGGAGTCATTGGTTTAATTGCTGTGATGAATCAGCGCACATTACAAACAGTTTGTCCCTGATAAGTCTAATGTACACTCTGCTTTTCGCTACAGCTACTTCAATACCTACATGCTGGTTCAGAAATAATGTGCACAGGGTTGAGTCTTTTCTGAGTTGATGCCTATCGTTATGGATGTTCTCTCACATGTTCCAGCATATCATCACTTAGAAGGATTCAGTTCGAACACTCAAATGGAAGAAGTCAGCAGTGACTTGGAAAGCATGGGGAATGAAGACAGACTAGACTGTGTGCTAAAGTGGGCAAAAAAAAAAAAATCATCAAAAGTGTCCAAACAAAATCCCCCCATATGGATCTCTGGAATCACACAGGGGATGATCTAATCCTAACCTGATGAGAATGGTTCCCTTTATGCACTGACAAATATATTTTATTGTTTTCAGTGCAGATTTGTTTGGCTAACCTGGGTTTTTGAAATAAACGAATGCCTTTTTTTCTTCATAAATAAATTAATGACGTGAGATTTCTCGAAGATCCTTTATGTGCTTCCCTCTTCTCGTTTCAGATCTAACCTTATTTTTAACACAGCAACAGACGGCTTTTCAACCTTTTCCCCAAGCTGTCTTGTTCTCTATTATTTGTGACATTTAATCTTTTCAAAGCTCTTCCGTCTTTTTTTTCTTTTTTCTTTTCCATTCCATATTTTCTCACAAATGCCACTTTAACATAATGTTTAGCTGCACATTTTCAGGAAGAATGTTTTTGGTTCCAGTTACTTTTTCTATCATGTCATTGCCTGAGTTTCTCTGTTTTCCCTGAAGCCTGCCCATTTTGTCTATCCATTCCTCTCTGTCTGTTTCTCTCTCGCCACCTCTCTCTCTTTCAATTTTGTGTTTCTCTTTGAGGTGTGAAGGTGTTTTGTTGACACTTTGATCTAAGGGATATTGACCAGAGCCCAACGTGGCTGATGGATGGCCGGCGCTTAAAGTCGATAATGTCCACGCTCGTTGGGGCTCATCACTTTTACTATCCACACCAAATGAGCTCCTGTATGTGAAACAGTACGCCAAGTGATGTAATAGCCCAATAAGTGTAGGGGAAAAGAGTCAAGCCAGGATTTATGGATGAATCACTGACAAGTCAAAATGAAACTGGCTTGAATCAAATTTTCGTCAGACTTTTGGGCAGAGTGATAACCTGATGTAATCTAAAGAGATGAAAAGAGAATTTATATGATCACTGGTAGCAGAATACCCCACATGTAATGAGAAACAACTTGTCCATACTATAAGAAATTAAACTTAATTGATGCATTCGGTTGCATAGAGAAAAGCCTTACATGTCTGCATTGAAATTCATAATATATTCCAATAATAGCAGAGTGCGAATGGTTCTCCTCCACAATGACTTTGCGACAGCATATAATTTCCATCTGGCTTCCACTATGGGGAGCGTTTGACTTTTTGCACCCTCCAGAGGGGAGAAAACCCGTTCCCAGCAGGAGTGTATAATTTTAAGCACATTAACAAGGGCATTATAGTCTTACTTAGACACTTGTGATTTGAGAGCTGCATGAAGGCATCCTTTCTAACCACACTTCAACAGGGCATTTGACCCTGGTCTGCCTTGCAGGCATCTCTCACAGTGACCAGTGCGGTGCTGTCATTTGAAGTATAGAAAGCATTGCAGCTGACCCTTGTCCAAGTCACCATTATGTTAGAGAAACTCAGGGTAGCATCACTCGTCAGAGACAGGAGGATATAGAACGAGATTAAGGCTTAACCTCTTGTCCTTCAAGCAAAAATACAGCAGTGAAAAAGTTGATGCAAGGAACAGCAATACAGGAAACAGGAAGAAAAATGCAGATGCTGAGAGGAAGGATGATATGAAACCAGGAGGACATCAAGGAAAACAAAAGAAGAAAAAAACAATGTGAAGGGAGCTGATTTTTCCACAGGAATAATTTATCATTCAATGCACAAGGTTGTTATTAATCAACTTTAACACCACATTGAAAAGATGTCCTAATTTACAAACTTAACTTTTTGTTAAATAGAATGTTGCACAAGCTATTTAAAGGACATTAATCAGTAGGAAGGAAGTGTTTTTCCTCCTTACCCTTTCTTCTAGTCGAGCCACCTGCTCTCTGTAAAAAGCATCCTGTTTCTTCAAATCTGCTTCCTTGGCCTCCAGTTGCTTGGCCTAAAAAACACAGACAGGAAGAAAATAAAAGTTTTTATGGAAATTATGGGAGTAGTATACACATGTTATACATGTACATATCAATAAAAACACTTCCCAAATCAAACCCTTTCCTATCATAACATACTTGACTGTCGAAGAATATCTCAATGACTTAGAACACAACCAAAAATTGCAATCGATAAATGCAAAAAGAAATCCAGAAGTGTTATGGTCACGCAACACAATCATGGGGAAGACAGTTAAGTCAGTCATGTACAATCTCCATAAGAAGGATTAGTCACAAAGGTCACTTATAAGCAAGTTGACAGCTCAGATGCAGGATCCAAGCATATTTATGAGAATGTGAGTGGAAAAAATGTGCAGAAGCAACAGAAGTAATCATTGCCTTGAGAGGATTGTGAAACAAAGACTATTCAAGAGAAGATTCACAAGCCGTAGACCCTGGATGGATTCAGAACTTCAAGAACTGACATAACACATGCATAACCAGGACGCAGGCTACAACTCTCACATTCTTGTAGTCTTTTGATAAATTTTGCATTAAATTTGGAAATCAAGATGTCAGGGTCTGCTACAAGAGTGGAGAGGCACTTCATTCTGTCTGCTTAAAGTCCAGAGTGAAACTTCCACACTCGATGTCAGTGATGATTTGGGGAGGCAGGTGAAATGCTGCTGGGGGTCTACTGTGGTTTGAAGAGTTTAAAGCTTTATGTACTAGGCGTCATCTGCCAGCAAACCTTTGTACTTCACCCTGCGATTTACCAACAAGAATTTAAAAAAATTATTTAAGTGAGTCTTAAAAAGAGAGCCCTATGTACATAGCGCAAAACTGCAGCAAAAGGGCAGTCATATTTAATAAATTATAACATTATTTCAGAAATGAAATTGTCTAAGGAAAACATGCATAGAGAAATTACACACAGTTATTGTCTTAATGTTATACTTTTGTTAAATATGAGTATTTTCCATTTAAAGTTAATGGAAATATGACACTTAAGATAAGAAGTCTATATTAGGTAGAAAGAAATTATTTTGACACATTTCTGAATTAGAAAAAAATCTATTTTCTAATCCAGAAATTTATTTTAAAAAACATAAAATGCACAAATTGAACTCAGAAATAAATAAGCTCTTCTATAATATTTTAAGACGTAGTGGTGCCTGCACCCAGGAGCATGCAGGTAGACATAAATGCACACACAAGCATCAAAGCGCGAGAGCCTGACTAAGCCTTGGCAGGCTCTTGTGCTTGCTCTTCAGGTAAAATATCAGGACAAGAAGATAGCATCACTTTTTGTAGCGACCATGTATTGTGTTCTGCCATATATGTTTACCGAGGCTACCTATCTTTCCTGTCCTCCCCTCTACTGTGACCTTCACTAAATGTACCACTGACTTTCTCTGTGACATACAGCACTGATAAGACCTGATAGATCACCTCTTACAGGAAAAATAAACATCATCAGCCTGTGCACAAGGGCCAAAGACTAATCAAAACATATTTACCAGTCCAAACAAGATTTTAAAAAAAAAAGATAGTTACTTCACTGGCCTACTAAACCAAGATCTAGGGACAAATTTGCAAATAGACTAACAATGAAAGCTGTGAGAAAAAAAAAAAGAACTAGTCAAACAAACAGAAAAGAAGTCTAGAAGAAGAAAAGAAAAACTCACCTTCTGCTCAAATTCCTGAATAAGGCAAGCATTGGAAGAGAAGAGTAAGGAGACACTGATTTATTCTTTTCTTCAAAGTGACATTTGGAAAAGGTTTAGTATTCAAATGCCAGGAGTGACTGGCTGCCACACTGTTCTGCTTCAGTAATCATACTTCATCCTTCAAGTTTACACTATCACTGGCAAATACACAAACCTGTGCATGTACCCTTAATACAGGTGTGGTTTGCAACCATAAAATGTGCATTTAGTCCTAAAGTGCATGACTACTTACAGCTAAACACAAGACTACTAAAGAGTACTTTTATATTAGGAAAGCAGTCACACGTGTAGGCTTGAAGTTCTGCCTTTAAACACTCTAGGAAGCTTGGGAATACAGCGACATAAAAAAAATACAATATAAAAAAATGCCTTAGCCCATCCAATCTTCACTGCACTGATAACCATCTGAGTGTAGCTACTCAACACACTGCAGGCGAAACTGTATGCGGCATGCATTGTGATGAGGAGTCCCAGAGAGGAGCTGTCCTCACATGAGATGAGTGGGGGAAGTTTCAAAGTCAAGGGGATACTCCAAGCTCGCTCTGGAAGACCGAGACAGAAAACACTGTCGCAAAGGCAAACACCTTCATTATAGTGCTAGACAGTGAATAAAACTAACTCCAGGGCAACACTTTATCACACTCAAGACAACACTCTGCAAAAAAAAACAAAAACAAAAAAACACCACAACCAGGGTGCTGGTGTCTCTGAAGTGTCCGCAAAATGACCCGACATAACCTAGCTTTATTGGTCTGGTCAAACATTTCTCTGTATTGTGTCCCTTTGCAGCTAGTGTTGTTGTTTATTTTGTGCACAATGAAATTAAGACACAGTCATACCACAATCATCGTGCTGGGTAAAAGTGCCCTGAAGTATACCTTAAAAATTATGGAGTTACGGCACTAGAAAGAACCTGTTATTGATTCTGAACCTGCAATCACCGCCTCTAGGAGAGGATAGAAAAGTTTTCAAGTGTCTGGATTACTCTGCAAAGGTTCCAGAAAACTGTCTCCCCAAACAGCTCAATTTAGCCTGAAGGGATAGAGGGGGGCAATGGGGAAGGAGGTAGAATTGGCAAAGGGTTGCTACCTTGTCAGGAGTGTGTCCAAGCTCAATGTTACGGTAGTAAGTGATGACTAAAGGTGTTGATTTTACCACTAAAGAAAACATGCACGCAGATGCTGAGATGCAAACAGAAAGCTCAGACACTAATCTGCAGTACACAAATCATCACGTGCACACAGCAGCCTGAGCAGCTGTGCTCACAGAGAGCAGGCTGAGAGATAAATGTGTGCTGAAAGGGCTCATTAAAACAGGAGAGGTTGTGACAGAAATGTGTACCAAGGGATTTCTTTTTCTGAATTCCCTTTTGTCAGAGTCTATGGGAGTGCCTATATGTACATGGACCAGTGTGTGTGTTCAGTTTCCAGGCGGGCTGGCTGACTTTCCTTTTTGACGACACACAGGCCCAGACCCAGACCCACACACATCGTGTCGGGATTTTTTTTTCTCACAGATTAATCCCATTCAGCAGGGTTAGAAGATAATCTAATCACACTAAGGGCCAAACAATGAGGCAGACGTCAACTCTGACCATACAACTTTTGTTCTCCTTAAAAAAAAAGGAAAAAAAAAGAAATGGTCACTAGTGGAGGAGAGCTCTAGTAGGATTGGGAGAAAGAAAGAGGCAAGTTGAGAAGATGATACTCAAAGCTTTGTAGACCATATGCAGAACTCTTCAGCCTATCTGAAAATAGAAAACATTTGCCTAAACTAAAAAGCCTAAAAAGGCAATTCAAAGTGACAAAAGAGGACAAAAGAGAAGAGTAAGTAGAATCCAAGAGGCCAACTATCCAAAAGATAACACAGTGTAGAGATCAACTTCACAAGTCAAGAAATGTGTCAGAGAAGCACTGGAAAAATTTAGCATTTATGAAAGAAGGGCATAAAAATAATTTGTTGAGAGATAGCCAAAATGACTTCTGCTTAAAGCTCAGCCAAAGTCATTATTCTGCGGTACAAAAAGCTGATTGTCAACACATCAAGAAACTGATATAGGCTACTTCATGAATGAGTTATTCAAAAGTCAGCCATCTATATTGGTTGGTTACATTGGTTCTTTTAATGTCAGAAATATCTACTGGAAAGTTTTGAGTTTTTGTTTATGATTCTCAGACAAAAATAAATTACATTTAGTTGTGTCATAATAGCTGCCCTTAAACTGCGCAGAAATTCTCCAAAGCCAAATCCTTACTTTTGCTTTCTTAAACATTCACGTTTGAGGTTCAGTAACCTTTTTGTGCATTTGAGGAAAGAAAAATAAAAACACCTGAGGTTTTCTGAGCTCTGTGGCAAGCACTTTTCACTCAGCTTTACTCTGCCTAATTTTTCAGTACAGCAACCCAGGACACTGAAATAAAAATATCCCATTAAATGCATTAAATTTTACAAGTACTTCTATTTCTTTTTATAGCCCATGAATAAACAGTATTGTTAATAAGCAATAAACATTTTAATTCTATCCCATCTCTGATTAGGGTTCAGTGGTACAAATGGCTGGGGGTGACATACGGCTGAAAGTGAGACCATAGTGGTCAGATTAAACGAATCGTTTAGGCTCGGTGATCGCCTCTGTGAATATCAATTAGCAAGCCGCTGAATAATTAAGGACAACTGTGTTTTTAATTAGCTGACTGCCGCAGTTTGAGCAGGGCGTAGGGCTGGGAACGAGGAGGAGGAGGAGAAGAAGCAGGGAGGAGCTGAAGAGAGGAGGGCTGGGAGAGCGATGAGAACAGGTGGATTTTGCTGCGTCAGCCCACCTCCCCTTGCCTCCCGCCCACCCACCGGCTGTTCTCTCATTGAATTGCTCCCTTATAGTCCATTTTCTTTTACACCTGCTTTGTTGTTTCAAGTACTCTGACATTTGCTTTTTTTTCCCCTTTCAAAGTCTGTGGAAGGACCGAAATAAAAATAATATTTCCCTGTCAGCAGTACAAAAGTCTGAATATGCAGTATATGTTTAGCTTGTATGGCAATGAATGGGTGTCTGCAATAAACAAACATTAAAAGAAGAGGCTTTATTACCCTTGTTGCAATACATTTGCTCACTTTCATTAACACTAAATGTCTCAGAGCCATACAAAGGTAACATTTCTTGACCAACTTGGGCATATACCGTGTACCAAAAGGCATTCATAACCATTGAACATTTTATTTGCTTTTTAGGTGACACACCAACATAAAGCAATTTAAATTTTAAAAGCTCAATGCAGATTTTCAATTGGATTTGAATAGGGCATTTTAACAGAGCATTCCATTGTAGGTTGTGTTGAATGTTCATGGTTTTTATCAAGACAGAAGGTGAATCCCTGACCCACTCCAAAGAATTATGCAGCTTTCCCATCCCTGAATCACTGCAGTATGATAATGTCACCACCATGTCGGTGGCAATGACATGGTTGGTGAAATGTTGTTTTACTTGTCTTTTGCATGTAGGCTTAAAGAGGACATTGTCTCATTTGACCAGAGCAAACTTTGCCCCCAGAACACTTTCTTCCATGTTTGCCATCACCTTGAAAGTAGTGGCAAACTGCAAGGCTGACTTTCAATAATGGGTTTCTTCTTGCCACTCTTCCACGAAGGCCACATCTCTGAAGTACACATCTAATAAATGTCCTGTCAAAAAATTCTCACTTGAGCTGCAGCTCTCTGCAGCTGCTTCAGCATTAACATGGGACTCCTGGATTCTTCTATGATTAAATTGTTCCTAGCCTGCCTGTCAGTTTAGGTCATTGACCATGTCTTGATAGGTTTGTGGTTTACTCTAGTTGCAGATGATGGATGATAGAGTGCTCTATGAGTTTATCAAAGCTTAGGAATCGCTGGTTTAAACTTCTTCAAAACCTTATCTCTGACCTTTCTGCTGGTCTCCATGATGCTGTTTATTCACAATCTCTAAAGTTGTCTTCTGTGTTTACACTGAGCTCAAATTGCTTATGGTGCTTAATATGCAACTTCCAATAGAAACTGGTAGAGTATTCTATTGCTTCTTGGAAAGCATCCCGAGATTCTGATGTCACCACCATCACGTTTCATCATGGGGAGGTGTCTTCTGGGTGTAGTTTTAGTTTAGTTTGTTGTTTTTTTTTTTTTTTGTCAAAATAAAATGGGATGAAAGCTAATGTACTTTTCAGCATTTTCAAACTCTTTTGAAAATGCTACTTTGCATCCATCTTACAAAATCCCAGAAAACATTTTCCAGCTTGTGGTTCTAAAGTCATAAATGTAATAAAAAAGTTAAAGTTGCATCCTTATTCTAATGTTTTAATCTACAAGAAATTGAATTTCAAACAAACAAAAGAAACATTGCAGTACTTCACTTTGGGAAAGTTAATGGCTAAAAGCAACATTGCGCATTCTACATTTTTCATTTCACAGTTCAATGACAGAAATTCTCCAATGTAATAAAATGAAGGAGTTTGGTTTCAATGTGTGCCTGCTAGATGCTTATAAATCATGATAGGTGAAAATAATTTTGAGAGATGTCGTGATCAATAGAGCACAAATCAAATCTCATCACATTAACAAACTGCACATCATCCATAACCTTGTTTTCTTTTGTGCCCCTCTCTGCCACCATCGTCCCTGCCTTGATTCACCCCTGTCACGAGTAGCATCATAATCAATGCTCCCTCACACTACCCAAGTGCGCAATGCAGCACGGTGGGTCAGAGCTGCACACCGGGGCCCATCTATCACGTTCACATGCGACAGGAGCCCATGACAAACTAATACTGAAGCCGTGAGCAGCAAGTCCTGCACGATCCCACTGGCAGCGGGGAGGTCATGGGGGCAGAACAATACGACCATGCTCTGGTGTTAATTAGCACAGCGGAGGTGTAGGTGGCGTGTGGAAGGTTAGAGATGGATGGAGGGAGGAAAGTGAGGGTTCACAGGGTAGACAGGATGAAACA